CTTCTATACGGAATCTATTTGTACATTACATACGTATAATTAATATCGGAATATACCATAAAATGTTAATTCAATAGCGAGGTATTATGACACGTGTCAAAATGAATTCATAACCATATTTGTTTGCTTTGTATGATAAACATGTAATATAATAACATTAGTCGATAAACTGTTTTTGACGTAAAAGGAATTAAATATATAGATAAGACAAGGCTGAAACATGTCAAATACCTGTTTAGCCCTAATGCACTTATAATAAATCACCGGCATACGTGTTTCTTCATAATTATTCTAGTAAAAAGTAAAACGTAAAATATATATAGTCAAAAATATAAAAATTAACATAAACTAAAACATACTTATTTACTAAATGAGATCATATCTAGCAAACAAAAAACTATCACCTTCATTCTTATGCATCTGTTTTATTGAACAGTGTAATCGCTGCTAAACGACATTGAATATTTATACCGATGTAAGTAACACCGAGTGCTACGCAGAACGAACATTATGCATTAATGTACCTGATGAATATTAAAATGACATTAATAAAACGAAATCGAGACACATCAAGAAATTCAGACGGTGATGTGATTCTTATGCAAATTACGTTGATGACTATTTTCGTATAATGTGTTCTTAGTCCATCTTCATCTTCCCACGAATATACCTCGAGGTCGTGTTATTTGAGTGCATAATTCGAAAACGCCGTGCAATCTTGTTCTAATGTCAAAGAATCATAAAGAATAATCCAAAATCGGAACATTAATCCTATGTTATTATTTGTATATTGTACAACGAGAAAAATTTCTAATTGTAAATAAATGAATCAAATAATTTTGATCATCTTAATCACAATTCTAGTGTTATGTCAAGTACAATTATAATAGATTTAACCAGAAAATTTTAATCTGTCCATTTTTAACCAAAATTCCAATTAAAGCAACCAGACTTTCTTCCAGTGAATTTTTACAATTTCTGGTACAAACAAACTACGTGCTAATTATTTATCGGTCTTGAAACATAGTTTAGACTGAAGCTGGAGTACGCAATATCACAAATCACACCCAGCTTCAGTCTAAAATTGTATTTCACGACAGACAAATAATTGGTGCGTAATTTGTTTAAAATTATTAAAATGAATACAATATATTATTATTAGGCATCAAGACTTGTCTAACCGAATATGACTTTTTATTCATTTATTTATTTTATTGCAGTTACGTGATGCAATTTTTTTTTAGTATATATAATATACATATATAACTTCTTTATTAATATAAAGATACATACATTTGCATGTTACTATTATATTTCTTAATGTCTCGTACTTTAATTGAAAAAATTTATATGTTTAATTTTAATTTCAATTTTTTTACACAATATTCGATGCAAACATGACAAAACATACAGAATAGAGTTGAACAGTTAACAGTGAACTGAGAGGTTTCATTTTCTTTAACTTGTTTTCAATTTTTCAGGTTGAAAGTGGCAAAATTGATATAGCTCATCACGGTAACTGGGCGAAATTAGCACTGCGGGAGTTGTACGAACTCGACGAGGCAGTTAAGGTAGCTCAACGGTTGTTAAATATGGAGGAAACGTTAATCATCGTCACAGCTGATCACTCGCATTCGTTCACGCTGAACGGATATCCCATGAGGGGCAACGACATTCTCGGTTTTGGCAACAGAAAACCTAGCCAGATACCCTACGAGACGCTCTCCTATGCTAACGGACCAGGATTCTTCTATCATCGAAGAAATGATACCAAAAACGTTAACGAAACTTGGAGAAAAGTCGAGGATGATCCAACTCGCGATGAACCCTTCTACAGGCACTTCGCTGGCAAATTTCTCAAAGACGAGTCTCACGGCGGAGAAGACGTCGGAGTTTATGCCTCCGGTAAAAAACGCAATTTTTCGTGTTACATTGTAACTCCTATTAACAACATAACATTCATGCTTGTTAAAGAAAGAACGAGAAAATATAAAATAGTTTATTTTGCACAGGAAAAAATAATGATACATTAGTGATTAGAAGTATTAGTCACAATAGCAATCTAATTAATAGTCTTATTAATTCAACGACAGTCCAGCTAGCAAATACCGAATGTAACTTAAATATAACATAAATAATATAAATATAAAAACATGTATATTTGTATAGCAATTATATCTATAGCATCCAAATTAATGAAATAATTGCTTGTTTTGTGTACGCAAAGCAATAAAAAAATTGGAGATAAAAATTTAAACGAGCTCAACTTAAATAATTTATTAATATAATTTACTATTAATATAATTTTATTCAAATTAAAAATGATAAAAAACACTCACGAGACGTTTCAAAGATACATAACTTAGTCCTCCATAGAAAAATTACAATATTGAATCATGAATAAGTATATAATTAAACTTAAATGATTTAAAAGAATCATATTTGACAGTGCATCAATAACTTAAATTATAAACATTGCAAAACTGAATTTTTTTAAATTTAATCTCTTATAGATATATTTATGAACTTTATAATATTTTTACGGCCGACGAGGACTAAGTTAAGTTTGAAACATTTCTAAGCGTTTGTCATTTTTTAAATAAAAATAAAATTATATTATTAATTAATTTGGATTTGTTTAAATTAAACTTTAGTTCAATTTCTTCATTAAATTATATTTATGTTTGCTAGGAATATTAATGAAATTAATAATATTTTATTAAGAGCATGACATATTTGTTTCATTAATATTGTTGAATTAACAAGATTATTTTTAATTACGCTGCTGTCGGCTAAATACTCGTTTACTGTTAATACATTTCTTTCCGCGCAACTCTAATAAACTACTGCAGTACTATCACGAATTAAATTGATTAACAATTTAATAATTAATTGATGCTCTTTTGGTATCTTATAAATAATAATCTTTTGCAGGCCCCTATTCGCACTTGTTCCGAGGTACTTTTGAGCAAAATTATATTGCTCACGCCGTGGCGTACGCGGCATGTTTTAAAGACTGGCCGTCTCACTGTGACAATGCTTACCATCGTTATTTTTACGACATTAATATGCCATCGCCAAACAACAGGAAAAATTCAGCTGGACAAAGCACCGTATCGTCTGCGGTAATAATAACTTTCCTGTTTACGGCGATCTTTATACGGCTGTGATAAATATTATTATACATAGTTTCCTTTTATAGTCAAATTAACAATAATGCGCCGCGAAAAGAATTTATCTCGAGTAATTGATACAAATATTATACATTTAAATACAAATAAAATTAAATAAATATTGTTTCCTTGTACTTTTACTGAGATATATTCTAATTGTATATTTTTCTATATCGCTTATTTGCTACAACAACAGCACAACTCAAAAAATGTAATTTTTTTAGTCGCTTGCAAGAAATTGGAAATATTAGAAATATGAATAAAAAAAGACAACATATTTTGAAAGAACATATTTTTATTCCTCAGTATGTTACTCAAGTTTCGTTTTAAAATTAATATTACAAATTTTACTAATTTAAAATATTTAAACTTTTTTTTCTAGAAAACTTTTTTTTTTATTTATATCATTTATTTGTGTTGTAGCAATAAGCGATATGATATAGCGTGGTAAGATTTCTTTTGTGGTGCACATGTACGACTTTTATAATAGACTAAATAAGTTGTGATCACAGATATCGCACATAATTTTTTTCTGTAATCTCTTTACAATTTCACTGTTTCTTATGTAATTACATTTTGATAATACATTATTGTCTAATTTTATTTATTCTAATGTTTATAGAATTCAACAAATAATCATGATTATAGATTGCGGTTTTGATATTAACACAAGTAACACGATGATTTTTTGAATTATTGCAGCAATGATGACGAATTTAATTTCAAACATGGAGAAACTTTGGTGACATAATCCGCACATTAAACACAAGTTAACAGGATTTTGATATGATGATGGAAAGTGCTAATAACCATATGTCTTTTAATATAAAAATAATATGATATGGTAATGTAATATGTAATATGGTAATGTAATATAATATATATTGCCATGTTTCAAATAAAATTAATATTGCTATTGAATAATCAAGAATAAAATTCTAAAACTTTTAGTGAGATTTTATACAATAAATACATATAAAATAAGTATAAGCTGCTATAATATAGAAAATCATCCTTTGAAATGTAAAAAAAATAATTTTTTATGTACTTTAACATGTTACTTATATAAAATAAATGTAAACCTGTATATATACTAGCGCATTATATCATAGTATTTTGTTACAAATTGATAGAACAATTTCTGACTTGAATGTCATGCAATTATATGTAAATTATAATATAATTATGGATAGAATAAAGTTCCTTATTATATTATTTGTACATTTTACGCTATAATTATACATATAAGCGAGACAATAAATTATTTACTAGACTTCAAATATTATTTAATTCCTAATTTGAAATAAAGACCACAATACAATAACAAAAATTATTGTATATAATAATATACCTTAAATTTGATAACTCGTTAACTTTAGGGTTGCCACAGTATATAGTAATCTCTTTAAAATTTCACATTTGTAATATTTGTGTATAAATTAAAGTAAAAGCAAGTAAAGTAAGAGCACATGTTAAACAAAGTGTCCGACCAACTGTTCATATATTGAAAGTTCTTGGCAATGTGTATAATCATGCACATGAATTTGATCGATACTTTATTTATTGTCTGTTTTTGCCCTAGTTGTAAAAATTAAAAGACAAAAAATATATTTCAAGTATTAATTTAATTTATAATTTAAACTAAAGACTAATATAATAACAAAAAAATAATTGTATATTATAATATACATCAAATTTGGCAACTCGCCAATTTTGTTTGTCATATTATTATATAATAATCTCTTTAAAATTTCATTTATATAACATTTGCATATAAATTAAATGTAAAAGCAAGAACACATGACAAAGTGTCGACCAACTGTTCTGTCATTTATGGAAAGTCCTTGGCAATGTATAATATTGTATAATCATGCATTGGAACGGTTTGCCTACAGTGCTCTTGCTCTAATACTAGAAATTAAGAGATATAAAACAATATTTCAAATGTAAAGTACTTCAGAAAAATACTCGTGCGGAATTAAATATAAAGTGACTTCGAAAGAAAATCTCTTCGAAATTATTATGATTTTCCTTTAACAATAGCGAGATAATAATTTTTATAGATAAGTGGCACTGTATCGTCACTAACGAAATTTCTATCAGGTTTGATCGAAGCGAACGGATTTTTTCGTGGCTCTAAGATCGTTTCTACATCAGCGATCGATTTTATTCTGATCATCTCTCGTGGAATTTCCTGCTTCGTGTAAGATGTCACACACACGGGAACTTTTATTTTACAGAATTCTCGTATCGTTTCCGGCCACGTATCTCTGCCTTCAAAACCTGTTTCCCGATAAAGACCCGGGTTAAAGAGGCACACGAGATTCGGTTCTATAAATTGTTTGGAGCGACAGAAATCGTGATAAAATTGTTTAGGATGGAACGAGACTTTTACTCGTCGATTAGATGATTTACACAACGAACACATCTTCATAGCGGTTAATAAGTCCAACGGCGCCGTCGGCAGACTCAGTTCCGGACCAACGAACATCAATTTAAGATGCTTTAAATTTGGGAGGAGGTGCAGAAAGAGTTTCTCCCACACGTGCAGATTTATACATTCATACTGAAACTCAGCACCTATTACGTGAATCACGAAGGTGTCGATACTTTTCCAATTCTCACAAGAAATTTGCATGGAATACAAAGTCGTCAATGGAATGGACGATATATGAAAGAGGCTGCAGTACGTATAGCAATCCATATTGCAATAATATGTCGAGCGGCTGTAAAGTTGTGCTACTAACAGATCAAAATTGTCCGGCAAATGAAGCGGTTCTTTCTGAAAGGTATCCGGAATCTCAGGTTCTATGTAACCGTTTTTGTGCTGCATGAATAGCACTCTACGAAATACCTGAAACTCGCGACACCATTCTTCATGCCCGTCATCATGATTCTCGCAAAATATGCCAATTCCGCATACCGAGCAACATTTTAAAGTCATTGAGAAGCGATGACAATTGCAACAAACGCGGGGATAGAGGAGGATCTCCTTTTCCCAGAGCTGAAGAGGCCTGTCCAAATGAAACTGCACTATCTCGATCAATTTCAACCGATAAACCCGATAATCATCTGCATTGAGTTCCGACAGTAACGATAAGCCACCTTCGATCTGACAGACTTCGGTGAGAACTTTGCACAGGCCGCGATGCTTCGGTCGGTCCTGCTTCATATGGCTGACGGTGCAGTAAGAAACCATGCCACAAGATTTACAGGTTTCCTGCGATCGTTCCATGCAGATCAGACACAGGTTCGATACGAAGACAAAACGCGGCCAAAAGTTCAGCTCAACAGTGTCCTCTTCGTCGCTGTCGTCCAACGATCGATGTTGCATCGGGTACACAAGTGGCAATTTCAAACGTGAATAAACATCGATCGCGACTTCGTTGATAGAAAGATTTTCTTCTTTTTGTTCCTCTATCGCCTCTTTTTCGTCGAAATTCAATTTTTCTGCTACCTTTCTCTCGCAAATTTTTTCAGTAACAAAGATTCTTTTCGGATTTCTTTTTCTGCGACCCATTGTTAAAACTGAAACAACAAAACAAAATAAATGCAACGAACTGTTGTAGATTTTTATGAGCAAATGGAACTATAATTTATTTTAACTGTATTAAACGATCGCATTATGTTAATACTTACGTTAATACCATGAAATTGAGATATTAAAATATATTAATACTTCTCCGCAAAACACAAACTGACGATAATATTATACATCAATATAATTTCCCAGTAATAAAACACATAATATAACACATATTGTATATAATAGTTTCATTGTTAAGTAGGAAATTATATGTTACCGATTTGTGTTCTGCGGGTCAATTGTGAAAGATGAAAAATGGCTTATACAATTAAAATCATTATATTTATTCGAGGACTATTATGAGGATTATTACATAATATATCGATGTTACGCGTACGAGTATTTTAGTGTTTCAAGCACGAACCCGATTAGTTACATAACTGCGTTTCGTCAAAGAACACGTGTAAACCATTATTTTAGAATATTACAATACGGAGCTCATACGCATCGTAATTAACAAACCAATGTATACCACAAACGCTAATAATTAAATCCAACCGCGACGGATTCTACTTGCGTTTAATGACCTATCGTATATCTATCGAAAAGAGAAGACAATTATCTCCCAATTTAGCATACTGCATTCAACCGTACATTGCGCCATTATTGTGGAACGAGGATTCATTCATTTATAATTTCAAATGAACTACTCTCCGTATATTTAATGAAATAAATTCTAATAAGATAATAATGAGCGTAATAAATTATAAAAAATTTAAATACTTACCTTCATAAATTCTTTACGTTTTAGTAGCCACGATTATTCGATATTTAAAAAAATATTATATACAACGCAAAGAGCGCTGTGTTAATAATAGTATCACTGATGTTACCGAGATTATTTGAATATTGAAACTCCGCGCGATTTAGGTAAGCGATTTGATTTTCCCTCTGCCGAAGATCAGACACCTCGACCGTTCAAAGCGTTGCGAGGTATTATCAGGGCTGAGAGTACGTCGATGGGCACTATGCCTAGTCGCCCAGACACAAGGTATTTCAAGCACGGCGTACTGGCAATAAGATATTCGAAGACGAATAGCCAAAGACGAGTGACGTTTGACTCTCAAGAGGGAAAGAGACGATATATTTCAAAGCAACCGACACATCAACTAAAATAATAAACGGTAACATAGTGCTGACATTCCAATTTGTAAACATAATGCATTTAGTACATCAGATATGAATAATAGGATTTCTGTACATGAATTAACACGAGTGGGTATGTGTGATATGTGAACGTGTACAAGTATATGTATGTATGTACGGCTTTATGTCTACACCAGCTATTATTAACATTACAGAATACAGATGATATGAATACAGATGTCGCAAATAAAAATTGATTTTATCGTCCTAAACGTTCACAAAAAACTCACAAAAATGCTCAATATAAAAATAATTATTAATCAAATAATTAATATTAAAGTAATAATGTATTTCCATAATGAATGAGTATGACTACATACAAACAAAATATTTGAAGATAGATTAATTTTGTGAGAAGTTTCTATTCATTAAGTCATTTCAGCTTTATATATAAATTTTATATCACTAGTAACTTTAGAATATTAGAATGCTCGATACAAATTTTGCATACAAGTGAGCGAGGTCACTGAGCGTTGAGCTATGTCTTCAGTCATTAGGTCATTAGGAGATCTGCAACAGTCTACCATAGTAAAAGCAAAAAAACAAATTCTATTTTATATAAAATTTGGATCTCCTAATGATAGATGACCATTATAACAAAAAGCGTGATAAGTGATTTTAATTTTTGAACAGCTTTATACATATTAGTTAGTATATATTTTATTTAAAAGTTGTGAGGAGATGCATACTATAACACAACAACAATATATTAGTAGATGTAATAGAAATAAAACTGAAGATTTTGAAGTTTATAGTATTTTTTTCAAATACTATAATAAACACACATATTTCTTATATTTAAAATACTTAAAAATATTATTATAATTTTCTCTCATAATTTCCGTCATTTATCATATTACGTGGTATAGCAATAAAGTTCGATAAATGGTTATCAGAAAATGTACACCACTTGTATACAAATAACTTTTATTATCCTTCAAAATTATACAGACAATAGACTTCAAATAACATTTGTTCAATTCGCAAAGTCTTGTTGTCACACATTCCCAAATAGAACACAGAAATCAAAATAATATCATAAGGGCATCATCATGACTACATTTGTTATAAGTTTATTTTTAAATTTATTTTAATGTATTTCTCTCTCTCTCTCTCTCTCTCTCTCTCTCTTTTTCTCTCTTCCTCTCAAATGACATCATGATGACGCTCTATAAATAATTATGACGCTATGAAAAAAAAGTCTAGTAATAGCTATTAAATGCATGGTGAAATGTCAATCAAATGTTTGGTTAATATAACAAAAAATAATGTTATTTTTACAAATAGTATGATATTATCATCTCTGGTAATACTAAATATTTATAAAAGTAACATTATTTTTTGTTATATTAACTGAACATTTGATTGACATATTATTTCACCATATACTTAATAGCTATTACTAGACTTTTTTTCAGTATATCTTCTACCTGGGTTCTAATACTTTTCATTCAAAACATGTACAATAATTTTTGCTCGAACCGAGGTTTCAATAGACATTTTTTGCTTCCTAAACTAAAGGAGGCGATAAAAGAAACTTGATTTACAAACATTTTAAACACTCAAAATCGTATGACAACAAGACTTAAGGCGATATTCGCAACTTTTCATAGAGTTCTCTCAAACTATTATCAGAAATGTATTGTCTCTCTCTCTCTCTAAGAGGGATTTACTTTAAAGGATAATAAAGATTACTTGTATATAAATTAAATGATGTTTATCTTCTCATAACATGCACAAGTTTATTACTATATCACATAGGACATGTGTAACGATAATCAATTCATATATCTTTCAATGCAATTTATAAAATTACAAACAAAATATTTTCTTATTTTGCAAACGCCAATAAATATGAAATATATTTGTATCTCTAAATTTTCGTATTTGGGTATTTTCGCTAAGGTATTACTCCAACGCACTCATATTAGAGTGAATGTGGAGCATGTTGGAACATGTTGGAACATGAGATAGATTTCATGGATATATGTATAATATTATTTTGTAACTTTATTTTTTTCCTAAGAAGGATAAAAAAAATATAAACGTCTCTTTTATTTTTTATTGTCTCAATTTTTGTCTCTTTAAACTCTTGTTTACATTTCTATCACTCCCCTTATTGGTCAACTTTACCGATAAGACTGACTACCGACTCGTAGAATCAGCATTACATTCAACTTATACTCCAATTTTTATTTTCACCGAGGCCATTTTCTTTCACTGGCGGGAAATATATGCGTCTCGAAATATCAGCGGCATCGGAAATCACTATTGTTTTCATTAGATCATCGCATATCTATTATTTAGCATACGTTTTCTAAACGAGAATGTCTCAAGCGCATAAAAAATTTAGCCCGATACAATTATATAGCTTTTAATTCACATTTTAAATATTTACCACATACCACTTATGTATCTCAAGTGCATATCATGACGCTCGTTCACCTGCAGCCCAGCCAGCAATTATCCATCAGCATCTATCTCAGCTAGCCATGCTATTCCGTTTTCTATATCTTTTCAGTTTGTCCCAAGGTCTGTTCCATGTTCCATTTGAGGATTCAACAAATCGACGCGATTTCTATGCGAAAATTCGGAAAAGATGCCGCACGCGCGAAGCGACCACGAACCGCGAGTCCGCGACAACTTTTTTAGGTCACCATTCGAGAATCGCAAGCGGCCGGCGGTTCGATAGTATCGACTCGGCGACTTTCACTCAATACTGCGTGTATTGAATTGACGTTGACGTAGGATACGCGGCGCACTTCACGTTGTGTGCTTGTCAGTGAATTAGAATTGATTAGAATGATTAGAATTGCTCGGTGAACTCGACGTGGAACCTTTTGTTTCTTCTCGAGGAATTCGGAATTATCTTGGATATACGCGAAATCGCGCTTATGATCAGCCGATGGATCAACACGCGAAGAAAAATTGTTATGTATTCGAGGTACGTGGCATTTTAAGGTTATGGCGGCCGGGCTATCAGCAGCTGTCAGACAACCGCGCGAGCGAAGAAGAATCTGCTTTTTTATTGGGATGAACATGAAAATTTTCTTCTATGAATTGTTTTGAAAGCACGGCTGTCTAACGAAGATTTTCAAGCGAAATCGCAAAATGTGTTTATTTTATGTATCGTGTGACTTAGGATTCACTATGCAGAGGTTATTATACATTTTTTATAGTGCAAACATTTCAGTGCAGAATTACAATATTTTAAGTGCATTAAATATAAATTGAAATTTTATAGAATTTTGTTTGTAATATTAGAAATTGAGAGAGGAAGGTCCTTTTTCTTAGTAAAACTGACATAAAACAGTGAGTCAGTTTTAGCTAATGGAAATATCATGATAAACAGTATTGTATAACGCAAAATTTTAGTCGATTTTAGCAAAAAATTAGGAAACTTTGATGATAAATTTATGTGAGATAATCGAATATATTCAAAATATTATAACATTTAAATTGATAACTTATTCTTTACTTTTATGAATCTTTTGGTAAAAGAGACAAGAGGAAAAATGAATTTTACAAGAAAATCCAATTAAAAAGAACAAATCTATAGGCTACATTTACACTATCAATGCTATTATGTTATTTTATCCTTG